GATCCCTTTTGGCCGAGGCCATAGCCTGGTCATGCAACGCCCTGAACTGCACCTCCACCACATCCAACCCAGAGAAGAAGTCGCCGTACGAGATGTGGCACGGGCACCCTCCCCCGCCGGGGGCGACGTACCCGTTCCTCAAACCTGCCGTATACAAGGTCAAGCGCACATACAAGTCCGAGCCAAAAGCCCAAAAGTGTTTTTACCTCGGCCCGGGAATCAACACCAACAGTGATTGCGTGCACATCCTCAACGAAAAGCGCCGAGCGATCACAACTCGCAACTGCACCTGGCAACCCGTGCCCGCGGCCCCCGCCGCCCTGCCCTAGTCGCTGCCTCCCATCGCAGAGGAGGAAGAGGAATTCGCGACTGAGGAGGACGAGGTTGGGGAGGGCGCGTCGAACCAAGGTGGAGGGAGGGCGGAGAGAGAACCTGTGGATGGAGGACCAGGTTTCAACCTTGGCACGACGGCAGCCCCAGGGCCCGCGGGGCCGCCCGCGCGCGCAGCGCCGGCGGCACCGCCGGCCGCGCCCCAGGAGTCGGGCGCGGGCGACGCTGGCGATGGCGCCCCCTCGAGCAGGGAGAGCGCGAGCGTCGCCCCATCTACCACGTCGACCGGCACGGCCGATGTGGGCGGTGGCGAGGACGACCGCCGCAGCAGCAGCAGCCGCGGTAGCGGCGGCAGCGGCGGCAGCGGCGGCGACAGCAGTAGCCGCGGTAGCGGCGGCAGTGGCAGCGACAGCAGCAGCGGTGGCAGCAGCGTCGATGACGGCGGCAGCGACAGCAGCAGTGGCAGCGACAGCGAGACGGATCTCCCGGCGCTCTGTGGGCCAGAGGCCCGGCGGCTCGCCCGCTTCGACAAGCCGACGGAACTCACCAGCCGGCGCACTAGGGAGAACCCTCGCCGAAACCTAAGTTACGAGTCGCCCCCGTCGCCGACAAGTGCCAAAGCCCTGCTCGCCTCGGTGGCGAGCNTCGCCGGCGGCCCCACCGGCTGCGTCCCAGGAGTCGGGCGCGGGCGACGCTGGCGATGGCACCCCGTCTAGCAGGGAGGGCGCGAGCGTCGCCCCATCTACCACGTCGACCGGCGCGGCCGACGTGGGCGGCGGCGAGGACGACCGCCGCAGCAGCAGCAGCCGCGGTAGCGGCGGCAGCGGCGGCAGCGGCGGCGACAGCAGTAGCCGCGGTAGCGGCGGCAGTGGCAGCGACAGCAGCAGCGGTGGCAGCAGCGTCGATGACGGCGGCAGCGACAGCAGCAGTGGCAGCGACAGCGAGACGGATCTCCCGGCGCTCTGTGGGCCAGAGGCCCGGCGGCTCGCCCGCTTCGACAAGCCGGCGGAACTCACCAGCCGNCCGACAGCGAGACGGATCCCTCGGCGCTCTGCGGGCCAGAGGCCCGGCGGCTCGCCCGCTTCGACAAGCCGGCGGAACTCACCAGCCGCCGCACTAGGGAGAACCCTCGCCGAAATCCGAGGTACGAGTCGCCCCCGTCGCCGCCCACATCGGCCCCGTCGCCGACAAGTGCCGAAGCCCTGCTCGCCTCGGTGGCGAGCCTGCCCGACAGCAGCACGGAGGAGTTCACCCGCTGGATGCGCTCGGCGGTACTTCACGTGGCGGAGGGGCTAGAGGTGAGGGTTGTGCGAGAGTTGCTGTCCGAGCATGCGTAGAAGGCCCACGCTGCGCGCCAAGAGGCGAAGGATTTTCTGCTGGGTACGGTGGACCTCATGCTCAACTCGCCAGACGCCTTCGAGACGGCTCTGACGTCTCACGAGCTAGGTGAATCCCCCATTGGCAAGCGTCCGAGTCATGTAGAAGCCCCACCCATGACTGTAGCCGGCGTTGCCAAGTCTGTTTACCGAGAGGGGTGGGAACAGGCCATGAGGGAAGAGTTTGAAGGGCACTTGGGCACGGGGACGTTTTCATTCGTAGACGGTGCGCCAGAGGGGCGCAGGCCTGTGAGCTCAAAGTGGTGTTTTAGTTGGAAGACCAACAAGGAAGGGAAGATAGACACGTTCAAAGCGCGTCTGGTTGCTAGGGGGTTTTCGCAAATCCCGAACGTCGATTATTTCCATNCGCCGTGCGTGCGGTAGCGCGCCACGCCCACGCCCCGGCGAAGCGGCACTGGGATGCCATACAGAAGATCCTCGGCTACCTGAAAGGGACGAGGGACCTCGGCATCACCTACCAACGGGGATCGGGGTTAGGGCTGGCCGTGTACGTAGACGCTAGCTACGCCGACACGGAGGATAGGCGTTCGGTGTCAGGGTTGGCGACGACGGTTGGAGGTACCGTAGTCAGCCATGGTAGCAAGACGCAGAGCATCGTGTCTTTGTCTTCGACGGAAACCGAGTACATTGCTGCCGGGGAGATCGTCAAGGAGGCGTTGTTTGTGCGTGCTGTGCTTTCGTTTGTTGCCCCAGAGACCAGTGGTAGCAGCATCAAGGTCCTTGAGGACAACCAGGGGGCCATAGCGTTGGTGCAGAACCCCCTCAGCTCAGGTCGCACGAAACACATCGACGTGAGGTATCATTTCATCCGAGGATTGTTTAGGTCGGGG